GAATATAATGTTTAAATAAAATGCTTACAATATATTTATTAATAATATTAATTTTATATATAAAAAAATTACAAATATAATGCTTAAATAAACTGCTTATAATATATTTATTAATAATATTAATTTTATAAATAATAAAATTACAAATATAATGCTTAAATAAAATGCTTAAAATATATTTATTAATAATACTAATTTTTTAAATAATAAAATCACAAATATAATGATCAAATAAAATGCTTAAAATATACTTATCAATTATATAATTTATTTTCCAAATAGAACTTCAAACAAATTTGAATATCTTTACAAATAACTTGTCACATGATGCACTTTCTTCTTGTTGTTACTTCCTTTATTGCTTTCTGGCCCAGCTATTCGATGTGAATGAGGTAACTTTTTAACAGTAGAGTATGACAAAAGAATATTAAAATTGGCCCTAATAACTGTGATCAACTTAGTTGAATTATAAATTAGCATCTACCATCAAGGATAAAGACAGTGATATGATTTAATTCAATACTATCCACAGCCTATGTGATCGCCTACAATCGGTTAATCGAATAGGAGAAAAAAAAGTCAAGTATAGTATAACTTCGTAAAGTTAAAACAAGCATTCATTGAAAATATAAATATCTAGACAACGTTAATCATAAATGACCAAGACTCATAAAGATTTCTAAAAGATCCAACCTATAGTGGGTATAAAAAATAGATTGATAGCTTAGATCTTGATTTGGTACAGTATTTACGAAGATCAGTATAATAAAAGTGACCGACTCATATAGTACCTAGAGATTTTAAATATGACTCGGCATTATGTAATATTAAATTGGCCCGTAATGTAGATCTAGATACCTTAATTGCACTATAAGAATAAGATGGAATACAGAATGAAAAGATAAGTCATTCATTCATTATCAAATCTATCTGAATGATGAAAGCTATTAGAATAAATAACCATTAATATTGATATCAGAATAGAATATAATGACATATAAGGCATTCATTCATCATCAAAAGCCCATCAAGATAAGTGGAAACGTCATAATCTTGGATATCGATATCAATATTGACATTCTTCATTATCAAAAGATATGCCGAGATGGGAAATTCTAATGAAATAAATAACTTTAGATATTAGTATCAAATAGAATAAAATGAAAAAATAATTCTTTTATTTCACACTTTTCGTGATCTCAC